GAGAGAGAGTGGACGGAATGCCTCAAACACACACTGACTGTTTGATTAGACTCAGTCAAATGGTTCGTAATTTCCATAACTGCACAATTCGATCTCTTTTGATCAGCGGGATTCATGTGATTGTTAATCCGTTCGGCATGTCAGATTAGAAAAAAATAATATAATAATAATCCACAAAGTGAATCAAACATGTTCCTGGTTGGGTCCATTACAGACTATGCACATATATAGACTTTGGCGTGGATAGATGCCCGCATTTCAGGCAAAAATTACACATTAAGAAAAAAGAAAGAATCAATACGAGTAAATCGTTCAACCCCTTCCCTCCCCTCCTACCCCCCCCCCCCCNCCCGGCCAGGATTGAGGATAAATTCAGAAGAAACGCGCGGGTCGATTTGTAAGGATTCGAGCGAGATAGGTATCTGTACAGTTTCTGCAGAGGTTAATACGCGAGGCTAATAAACGGATTTCAGTTTGGTTAGTTTGCCTAAACGCATGAAAGGCAGAACGGGTGTACAACTTAGACCTTAGTAGGAGGAGTGAACAATGATCACTAATTGAGCAAGGGGTGCACGTGGATGGAAGAATTCCGGGGTGATTTGTTATAATTCTGTCTAAAATGGAGTTACCTCTGGTCGGTGTAACGCATGAATCGGTTAGATCCCAAACAGTGAGAGGCCGAATTGAGGCCTGGTTAAAATTAACCTCTAGTCATTGCACGATTAAAAACAAAAAAACGGGTCGAAGAAAGTTGAGATGGTGTTTTGTGTACAAAACGGAGCAATACATAGGTTTGTAATGAAAATACATTTAAGTTGGGAGAATTTAGAGTGACACTGAAGCGATCAACAATGAATACCGTTGCTTCAGTATGAGTGGATAACATCCAACTTGACGTAGTTAGTCACACTGCCATCGGTGTTTGTTGCCACAGGAAGCTCTGACCTACCAGGACATGTTAAATTAATCGACGGGCACATGTCGCGAACACGTAGTAGTAATGGAGCGGCCCAGAGGGGTTCACTTAGGAGCAACTTGCCACCTAGTCCGGTTGTGATTTCTTTTGCATGAATTTCGCAGTCCGAGGGCATTTAGTGTAATTGAATCGAATCATTTGGTAAATCTATGAGAACGTTTGGGTACAATTAATCACCATCTCATATACCGACGAAAAAAGACCATGTAAATGACAAAAATTGTTCAATTCGATAAGTTCTGACAATATAAGATTCTAGCACAACCAGTCCAAGGGGCGTGTGGTTAGACTATGCCTCATAAGGACACAGTAATCTCGAGGTCGGTCTACTATCCGTCAACTATGTGGCTCAGATCTGAACCTTTTGGCTCGCAGCCTAAAGGTTCTCCTCCTCAACACACAAAACTCTATCA